GCTCATCCAAACCCTACGGGCACGCGAAACGAGCTTCCAAGGCTGTCTGCACGAGATGCAACCTTTTGGATCTGAACTAGACATCAAATGAGGAGAACGTTGTATACAGAGCGGACAACTGGGTTGTGGTCGTTTCTGAGTTTGGCCTGCACGTGATGAGGGTGAACTCGTGGTCAATACGCCGCTCGACTCTGGAGAAATCATTCTATGGCATCAAGGTGGTGTGATTCAATCAGGATTATGACCTTTAAGCCTCGTTTTCGTATTTAACGGGATGCAATCAGACTATTTCAAACGAGGTCACAGGTTTAAATGTCCATATTACATAACTTGTAAGCCAAAATGCGTGTATTAACGATAAACTGTTACAAGTCGAGCTGAAAGTCTTGCCCCGTCCCCATTCACTATCGAACATCAGGGCAGAAGATAATGAGTTTCCTAGATATGGGAAGACCGGAAATTGTAGCTATATAAATACACTGATTTCTATTGGTACTTGTAGAGAATGTATCCTAGTCTATCTTTCCCCGAAAGAGCAAACAGAGCCATATACAGAGGGTCTCTGAACTCGGAAGCTACCGGGTCGTATATCCCCTCGAAATGTTGGGCGTTATTTGAGAGTGAGCTATCGTCTACACAGAATCAAGCCATCCGGATTCGTTGTTGGTGCCGACGAATCACTCGCTTCAGGATCAAGAGACTCGCATCGAACTCTTCGACCTCATCCGGTTCCATATCGTGACCTAAAGAAGCCAAGAGATCGAGTGCCGCTTTGATCTGTTGGTTGTCTCCTTCGTCATAACTCTATCAACTAGATCAGAAAGGCACTCATTATCCAAGGATGAATAAAGTCACCTTTCCATTCACTTCTTGAGACATCTCCCCTAAAGGTCCAGGTGAAATGGCGCCATAATATTCGGGCTCTTCATCGTCATTGTCGTCACTATCTTTTCCGGGTGGGAGAACAGGTGGAATAGAGTCTCCTTCGTCGGCCCAAGTATCTATGTCCATTCCTTCGAGTTCTTCATCCATAAAGGCGGGGGGTGGACAGGGGTCATAGGTAGTGTCATCACCTTCTAGCCCAATATTGGGCTCATTATCTGAGCCTACATTACCGGTATCATTAGTTCTGAGTAAATGATCCATGTAATGCTTTACGGTGCCCTTGGTGAATGGAAAGGGATCCCCTCCTGCTTGATTGTTTTGGTCGACCATCTCTTCCCATAGCTAAACGGGGGCAATGTCAGATACAGAGCTGCGTCACAATGAGAGAATACCTCGCACCGTATCAAGGTCCGAATCTTGTCGCTCAAGGATATAGTGTGCCCATTTCGATGGTAGGGACGTGTTCATATAAGCAGGGTGACTGCTGCGATGAACTAGCTGCAGGAATACTTGCCGAGAGCGGTGAT